AAGAAGAAGAGTGAGTAAGTGAATGAGAGGGAGATGCAGTAGTTGGGCTAATATGGTTGCTTCCTTGCCAGCTTGCTTGTTGTTTGCCAGCAGCAACATCCTAGCACTGCGTGTGTGTGATGCCCTGGCGTGCCCACGGCTTATCTTCGCCCTGGATGGATGGTCATTTGGGGCATGCAAATTAGATGAAAATGAGCAACAAAAGAGGTTAAGTAAATGGTTTGGTGGTAGATAGATAAACATGCAACCAGTCGGCCAGCTGGCTAGGTGGAAGGTAGTGGGTTGTAATTCGCGTGCTCGGGTCGGAAATAGTGTGGACGAGCACGTGGCCGGCCGTCACTTCCCGATGTGCCCAGGGCTTCTCTCTGCCTTGGAAGGATGTTCATTTGAGGCCGCAAATAAGAAGAAAATAAGGGATAAAAAATGGTTGAGTAAAGGGTTTGGTGGTAGATAGATAAACAGGCAACCAATCGGCCAACTAGCTAGGTGGAAGGTAGCGGGTTGTAATTTCCGTGCTCAGGTCGAAAACAGTATGGACGAGTATGTGGCCGTCACGCCCCCGACGTGCCTAGGGATTGTCTCCAACCTGGATGGATGGTCATTTGAGGCACGCAAATAAGATGAAAATGAGCTACAACAATGGTTGAGTAAAGGGTTTGGTGGTAGATAGATAAACAGGCAACCAATCGGCTAGCTAGCTAGGTGGAAGGTAGCGGGTTGTAATTTCCGTGCTCAGGTCGAAAACAGTGTGGACGAGCATGTGGCCGTCACGCCCCCGACGTGCCTAGGGATTGTCTCCAACCTGGATGGATGGTCATTTGAGGCACGCAAATAAGATGAAAATGAGCTACAAAAATGGTTGAGTAAAGGGTTTGGTGGTACATAGATAAACAGGCAACCAATCGGCCAGCTAGCTAGGTGGAAGGTAGCGGGTTGTAATTTCCGTGCTCAGGTCGAAAACAGTGTGGACGAGCATGTGGCCGTCACGCCCCCGATGTGCCTAGGGATTGTCTCCAACCTGGATGGATGGTCATTTGAGGCACGCAAATAAGATGAAAATGAGCTACAAAAATGGTTGAGTAAAGGGTTTGGTGGTAGATAGATAAACAGGCAACCAATCGGCCAACTAGCTAGGTGGAATGTAGCGGGTTGTAATTTGCGTGCTCAAGTCGAAAATAGTATGGACGATCACGTGGCCGTCTCGCCCCAGCGTGCCCGAGGCTTGTTTCCACCCTCTGGATGGATGGTCATTTGAGGCACGTAAATAAGATGAAAATGAACGGCAAAAAAGGATGAGTAAAGAGTTTGGCAGCGTATAAACAACCAACTAGTTAGGTGAAAGGCAGCGGGTTGTAATTTTGTTTAGACGTTGCTTATATGTAATATATATGGAAAATAAGAGAGAGGTGAAGGTAATTTACTTGACGATTAATGAAGGATGAAATAAGAGAGAGGTGGACCGAATAGATAAAAATCGTGGGTGTATGCTAGTATTGTGTTCTTTTATTTCCTTTTATTTGACCATAATGAAAATGTATGTCTAGTTGGCAAGAATGCACTCTAGCAGTGTGTCCAAAAACAACCGAGTGTTTCTTCTCCATCTAGTATCATGCTATAAGAGGGTTTATCAAGGGTGTGATCGTAATGGCGATGCGATATTGGTAGCTGCTGGCAGCAACAAAGAAGAGTGAGTTTTTATGTTTTGTTTTTGAGGCGACAAGAAGAGGGAGTGAATGAGAGGGAAATGTAGAACCGGACGGGCCCATATGGTTGCTTCCATCTTGCTTGTTGTTGACCAGCCCAGCCCAGCCCAGCCCACCACCAATATGGAGACACCAGCCTGGCTTTTCTTTCTTTTTTTGTCTCTTTCTTCCTCCTCCCCTCCCCCGCCGCTCTTTCTTCTTCCTCCTCCCCCCTTGCTTCTTCTCCTCGTATAAATCCTTCCTGCGGCGGCCTTTCCAATCTCTCCCAACCCATTCCTTCACCCGTTCGGAGATCCATCCATTCCTTCTTCCTCCTCCAACAACAAGTGAAGAAGCAGAACCCATAAGTCAACGTAGAAGAAGAAGAAGAAGATGTTGGCCGACGCGGGCTTCAGCTTCTCCGCCTACTCTTCTTCGCAGCCGGGGCCGGGGCCGGGCTACTCATACTCATACTCCCCCACAGTCTTCTCCCACCCACACCCAGACCACTCCTCCACCTCTGCCTCCGATGCTCCGGCGCAACCGCCGCCAGCACTGCCGCTCCTGCATCAACAACATCAAGCCGCCGCTGCTGTTGCTGTTGCTGCACCCGACGACACCGCCGCCATCTACCACCTCCTCGTGAGTAGTACTTGTCGATTTCCCATTTCTTCTACTCCATTAGTTTGCATAGATGCACCAATTACCTCACCTAGTTCCTCTGCAAGCGATCTCCTCTCTTCTCCTGCGTCACATCACATCAACTGCCGCCGCCGCCAATTCTTCTCGTCTCCGTCCGTCGAGACAAATTATAATGTCGCTTTCAGCCTTCTTGTTTTTGCGCCCCACCTTGAATATCGACGGCCTCTGCTCTGCTCTCAGGGGCGAATAAAATGCAGACTATCAACTCTTCTGTATATACTTATGGACAAGTAAAGGGAGGAGGTGTCAACTAGTCTAGACTAGAAACAACCTCCCTTTAGTGGAGGAGTATTAAAAATGGGATA